GGGAACAATGTTTCGCCACCTAAAATGTGGTTTGATACTAAACTATCCTTGGAAATTGGGGTGAAAAAAGGATTTTTCGAGGCTTGGGGGGTGAGCGGAACCTCCACCTCCGGAGGTTTAGTCTCATTTTCTTGCTCTAACTTCTATCCCGCATTTTAAGATGGCGGCTGCTTTAACTGGTTCAGGCTCTTTCCGGCATCTCCTTTCCTAATAATATAAAATGATATTCTTTGTTAAATGTTAACTTTTACATCAGATTGTACATAGCTCTTAAGACGTCCTGCTCAAGACTTTATCTATATTCAAACTCTCAGACTGTATTTCCCTTTTTTGTAACTTGTGTATGTGTGGTGTGTTTGGTTCTTGCACAATCGAGGAGGGTGGAGTATTTACAGCTAACTTGAAAAAAATGTCATGGAATAAATTCAGCCTTACTAAAACTAGGAGACAGAGGAGGTTGTGGGTTAGAAACTTTGGTTTTGATGGGTTACTTTTTTTAAAGGGGTTCTGCATGGAAGGAATGACAAGGACTTGGCTTTACTAAGAGTAGACCTGATGCTGCCTAATTTTGATTTATTCAATACGTATGACTTTGGAGTTTATTTGACAACACTGATATTATGAAAGATGAAGGTTCAGTTCTTCATGGAATGTATCGAGGCTGAAATTTTGAATTTTGATTTAGTCCATCATTGCATTGTCATTGTGTGTTTATGTGAAATATAAACTTAAATCTCTGTGATTTTGAGAGGATGGAAGAGGAGAGGAAAAATTTTGTAAGAGTTCAGATTTAAAGCAAAAAGGATTAAGCATCTCTTTGACCACTTTGAAGGCCAGCAATACATTGGAAAAGCATAGTTAATACAAAGAATATAACATTAAATACGAATCAAAACCTTTTATCTGTGAGAATTAGTTCAGGCTACTAAGATGTGGAGTAGTTTCAAACCCATAGCTTTTTATGCATGTGGAACTTCAAAGGAAGGTCTCATTGATTTTTTTTCTTTTACAGGTGATACCCAGCTGCTGTGACACCACTTTAATTATTTAAAAGCCCTAGAGAGGCAATATAATGGTTAAGAATTTGAACTTTGGAGCAGAAATGCTCCAGGTAGAATTCTAGGACTGGGCAAGTTATTTGTATGCCTCTATAAAATGAGTATTTGTTACGTATGAACAATAGTTGAGTGCCTAGTATGTTCTAGATGCTAGGACTGCAGTAGTGAGCAAAACAGATTTAGGGTCCTAGATTTTATTTGTTTATTCATTTATTTTAGGATTAAAGAGGTTAGTGTGTGGCTTGGAACAGGCATATGGCATTCAGATTATTACTGCTATTTTAATATCACTTTTTAATTTTCAAAATCTTCTTAAAGAACTTTCGTAGTTTAGTACTCTTCATTAACATCAGATTGTCTTCTGTCATAAATATTTTGAAGATATGCGTAATATATTAACTAGACATAATACTTTCCAAATTGGAAAAAACAATATTTATGTAGGACTGTTGATTCAATGTACAGAAAGTTTTTGAAAGGCATGTGGCTTGGTATTTAGCTGTTACTGTCAGAATCACATGGTGAAACTTCAAAAAAAAAAAAAATCCCAGATCCAAAGAGTATTAGTGATAGTTATGGGGGATGGTTTTATTAATTTCTGTTCTAGAAATACAGGGTCAAGTAGGCATCGCTATTAGTATGGTATTTCTTGTGTTACGCACTTTTTTCTTTTTTTTTTTTTTTTTTTTAATTTATTGTTTGGAGCCCCCAAATTCCAAATACTAAGATACTTACATTCTTTGTTGATGCTTTATTGAAATGCTTATTGTTGGATTATTTTTGGCCAGTATTCATTTGATAAAGCTTTTGGATTTGTTTTTTTCTAAAGCTTACGTTAAAATATATTGTGTTTCTTAGACGAGGCAGCTTTTTCAAACAATCTTACTTGTTTTTTGCTGTATTATTTATTTAATAAGCTGTAGTATGGTTTTACAAGGCTATTTATTAAACAACAAAAATGAAAAATGGGAACTCCCAAGTTGATTAGTGGTGTTTGAGGATCATAGGCAATTATACTACTCCCATTAAACCAGGTAACTACAGTGCTTGTATTTTGGGGAAGTTTAAAAAGAATTTCACATAAAATATAATGTGAGCCAAGCCTAGAAGAGTAACTCATGTTTTGAGGGTTTGCAATGTGTCAGAATTGTTTGAAACCCTTGTATTAACTCACTTAATATTACAACTCAAGGAAGTAGGTACAGTTAAATTATATTATCCCCATTTGGAGATTAGAAACCTGAAGCACAGAAAGGTTAAAAAACAAAACAAAAACCTACCCTTCGTCTCTGATAGCAGAATTGGGATTGGAACCTGGACAGTCTGGCTCCATTCTGTGTCTTAACTGTTAGGTCATCCTTTATGCTTTTAGTATTCAAAAAGGTTTTCTTTTGCATCATTCTGCTGCTAGTAATAGCGAGGACTTAGCATTTACTGTGTACCAAACTATTTCCAAGCCCTTTATGGAAATCAGCTTATTTAATTCTCACAACAATTCTGTGAGATGCTCTTTA